GCTAAACCACTGAGCCACCCAGCCTGCTCTCATTTCCCTTGTTTCTTTAAAAAGATTCACCACCCTGAAACTTTTCTACTTGTCTAGTGTCTGGTTCACCCATTTAGAAAGGAAATTCCTGGGGCACTGGGTGGCTCAATTGGTTGAGTGACCGATTGTTGATTTTGGCTCAGGTCATAATCTCAGGGTTGGGATTGAGCCCCGAGATGGGGTCCGTGCTGAGCATGGAGCCTACTTGAGATTCTCTCTGTTCTGCCCCTCCCCCTACTGTATCAAAAAAAAAAAAGGGTAAATTAAAAAAAAAATTTTTTTTTAAAAAGGGGAAATTCCCTGAGGCGGATACCACACCTGTCTTGTTCAGACTGACTCCCCCCAGAACCAGGCAGCTAGAAGTCACTCAATAATGTGACTCCAGGGCAGCCCGGGTGGCTCAGGGGTTTAGTGTAGCCTTCAGCCCGGGCCTGATTCTGGAGACCCGGGATTGAGTCCCACATCAGGGTCCCTGCATGGAGCCAGCTTCTGCCTCTGCTTGTGTCTCTGCCTCCCTCTCTCTCTGTATGTCTCTCATGAATAAATAAATAAAATCTTAAAAAAAAAAAAGTGAAAAAAAAAAAAGTGACTCCAAAAATAAACAACTGGATCCCCATGACCACCCTCTGACGTAGATGCTGTTATTTCCCCCTTCTATTTATAAGGGAGCTGAGGCTCAGAGCAGTCAGGTGGCTTACCCAATGTTACACCATAACTAATGAACTTGGGATCTGAACTGTCTTCAAAGCCTACACAATAGTGCCCCAAAAGTTCACGGCATCTTCTCTCTTCTACCCTGCAGGCATCCCCTGAACATGTCTGCCCTGGTCTCTGCCATGTTACCTTCACACTAGAGCAGAGCCTCCTCCCTAGCCTCTCTGCCTGCCCGTGCTCCAGGCTGGGTTTTTTTCCCCCTCCATGGTCATTCAACTTCACATTTTATTTTCATGACACTGTGCTGGGAAAGGAAGGAATCACAACTGTACAGATTCTGCTGTCTGGGGGAGGGGGGGTGTCTTTCAGATAGACTTGGAATCCAGATTCTGATTGTCTTTGCAGCCTATGGCATTGATTTCATCCTCCCTTACCAAAGCCCACAATGATCTTCACAACCAGCCACCAAACTACCTTCCCAGCCTCATCTCCTGCCTGCCAGTCATCCAGTCAACAAATAGTGAGTGCCTGGTCTACACCAGACACTATTACAGACATTTGGGATGCATCCGTGAACAAGCAGGAAAAAAAAAAATCTCTGCTCTTGTGGCATTTACAACTTTTTTCTTTGTTAGGGGTGGTGGTGGGATGAGGTAGATGAGAGGGAACAAAAACAAACATCAGTAAGTTGATGATAGAGAATGTTATAAAGTATCAAATGGTATAAGAAGGAAATAGAGCAAGGTAAGGGACGTCATAGTTAGGAACAGTGAGGTACTAAACAACACAGTCAGGATAGGCCTTCCTGAGCAAATAACATCTGAACAAACACTTGTCAACAAACACTTAAACTTTCTCTTTTAGAAGCTGGGCCACTGCATACACTGTTTCCTCTGTTTGGAACGTTCTTGCACTGCTTCTATGCAAGCCTTGAAACCAGTTCAGATTTCACTCCCTCTATAAAATCTTCTCTAGCATCCCCAGACTGTCTCATTTATCTTTTTGTAAGGTCTAGACCACTTGTCTTCTACTTGCTATGAGTTTGTGGGGCTAGATATCTCTTACAGATGATAAGCTCTTAAGGTGGAAATCTTGCCTCAAGTTTTCCAGGCAAGTGACAGCTGATGATCAGTAAGTGTCCGCTGACTCAACAGATGAGCAGGATGTTTGGGGCTGGCTCTAGAAACTTGCTCTGGACTTCCAGGACAATGGAAAATCATCCTAGTGATCTCTTTGGAAGGCTAGCTCACCTGTTTGATGATGTAAGTTAGCTCTTCAATTTCCACTGCTTTATCATCAAAGAGAGACTTGCGCTTTGCCACTGCAGAGACAATGAGGCCACAACATGGGAGGTCAAAGACAAGGCTCAGGGAGTATGGTTCCTCAGCCCTCTCTGGTTCACTGCCCCATCTCTGAAAGACCCCAAGAACACTCACAGATTGTCAGCTTCTCCAGCTTGGCAAATGTGTTGCTGAGGTCTTTCCCAATGCGCCTGGAAATGAGCATTAGTGAGGGGACCACAGGGATGGGAAGGACAAGGCCTATTCCCCCATTAGCTCCAGCTTAACCAATGCAGCCCTTCCTCCCTCACACCAAGGGCACTGAAGGCAAGCCTACGTCTCTCCAAACTGCATCATCCCACAACATAACTTCTCTCAACTTACTTGGCCATGAGGGTAAATTCGCTACGCTGCCGGACAGCACGCAGAGCTGGCTTATTTGTTTGGATTCCATTCTGAAATGCAACATGAAGAGGTAAAGGTTTAGTGCCCCCTCACTTCCAGCTGCCACTGTTCCTCAAGCGTCCAACTCAATTATCTCTAGTACCCTCACTAGGTAGTCTAATCTTATCAGTAGCAGTCATTTAGAACTCAGATTTGAACATGGGTAGACCAAGGTTCAAATCTTGACTCCACCACTTATCAGCTGGGAGGTTTGGGGTAAGTGCCTTAAACCATTCTGAATCTCTTTTCCTCTTGTATAAGATGAAGAAAATCCACACACCTATTCTTGTTGGTAAGATCACACAACATAGGACTATAGAGTATTTTAGTCAGATACCCCATACGTGGTAAGCACTAAATAAGTGATAAGCACTATTGCCATTCTATTCCTCCAATCAGGAAATCAAAGAGGATAACTAGAAAGCTCTTGGAGATCATATGGAAGAGCAGCTGTTAAGTGCTAATAAAAATATCTAAAATTACTAAAGTAATTATCTATTATCTATTATCTAAAGTCACTCAGGTCCCACTTTGATTAGGACGTCTGGACTGAAAAAAGGGAATCTAATTTGTTAAAAAAAAAATAAAAGCACTCTAAAGTAATTTTGATAAAAATTACTTATTGAGAAAGCTCTTTTCATTCTATAGATATAAAAACCGAGGCCCGGGGTGCCTGGTGGCTCAGTTGGCTAAGCCTCTGACTCCTGCTCTCAGTTCGTCTTGATCTCCAGGTCAGGAGTTCAAGCCTTGTGTTGGACAGGCTTGTCCACACTGGACAGGAGCCTACTTTAAAACAAACAAACAAACAAAACCCCACATACCCAAAAAACCCTGAGGCCCAACTAGACTAACTTCCGTGTGGCCACAGAGCAAACTTATGGTAGGACTATTCCAGAACTAGAATTCAAAGTGTCTGTCTCTGAGCTAAAGGCTCTCTCTAGAACCTCTTTCTTATCCAAATCAAATATACTGCAGCGACCTTTCATCCTGAGATATTCCTTCCAGAGTAGCAAGGCTACCCTCTGGGGTAAATTCTCACAACACAGTTTAAGTCCTTGCTTCTAGACAGCTGATCCACCCCTTTTCTGTTGCTTAGTAGATCCTACTGCCCCCTCTAAGCCAGATCAGTTCTCCATCATGTCAATCAACAGTGCTGGAGCACAGCCTCTCCTAGATTTCAGTAAGGCTCACTCCTGCCTTTCCCACTCCTGGTCCTTACCTGACGGCTCTGCAGGGACTTGCAGGCAGACAGGAACTCCTGGGTCCGATCTCGGCAGGACATGGTGTTGGGAGGGGGAGGGACCAGGGCCACTGGGGGGGGCAGAGGGGCGATGTCGCTGCTGCTACTGCCAGCAGTTGCAGGGGACAGGACCTGTGTCTTTGAGAGACCCAGGTAGACACCCTGATCCGTGTTCTTAGACCCGTAGCGTTTCCGCGGGATCATTGAGACGCATAACCTCGGACTGTTGTGGAGGGCAGAGTGTCATTCCCCAGGTGGCCTCCTTCCCCACAAATCCCCCGTCCCCACAGCAAATCCTTGGGCCCCTTCTGCACTTGGCACGGACTTTCGCGCCCAAAAGCCACCCGCAAATTCTGGGCCCGGCCCACGGCGGCGGGCAGGGCCCCGCTCTCTGGCCCAGTCGGTCCAGCTCCTCAGACTCTTCCAACTTGGCTCGGGCGGCCAGAGCGCGGGGCCGGGGGCCTTGAAGCCGAGACAGGGCCAGAGGCAGGTCCCGTGGCCCCGAGGCTCCAGCCCGGCCTGTGCAACTGCCCTAGGTCCTAACCGGGCCCTCTCGTATCCGCAGATCCCTTCGACTCCTCAGGGAGAAACGGTGACCGGCCTCTTGAGGGGGACACACTTCGGTAGGCGGAGGGGGGGAAAAATCTCTGGGTGTTTATTTGAAACAGGAAGTTCCTCCCCCGCCCAAGTCCCGCCTCCTGGAGGACTGCAACCAGTGATTAGCTAATGCCGACGTCTTTCTCAACAAGGGCTTTCCTGATTGGACGGCGAAGTATTCCCTCACCCCGAGCCCGGCCGGCAAGACTAGCCCGCTCGCCCCAGGTTCCCTTCCCCCTTCACGTCACCGCCCCCGGAAAGCCGCTGCCCGGAGCGGACACGGCAGCCAGGCCCCTTCTAGAGCGAGTCCTACCTCCTCTCTGCCGCCTGCCGCCGCCACCACTGCCACAGTCTCCTGGGTGGTCACCGCCTCCTCCCCAAGCGCTGAATCCGCCGAAATCCGACCAAAGACTAGGAGCCGCCACGTCACCCACACGTAGCCCCACCCCCGGTGACGGGAGGGCGGTGCTACGCCTTTCGGAGCACAGCGACCCGAGAGACACGCCCCCCCACCAAACGCCGGAGCGACTCCGCTCTCCCATTGGCTAGGCCGCCCGCGACCCCGCCCCAGAGGAGCTAGGGCCGGAGCCCAGGGGGCTGGGCCAATCTCAGGAGAGGAGCCTTAAAGAGCCCGTAGCCCCTGCGGTGCCCAAAAGCCATCCGCAAAACGCCGGCAGAGGCGCTTGTACTCCGGCAGGTACACGTTAGAAACTTTATTCTCTGGAGGCTGGGGCAGACTGAGAGCAGGGCTGGGGTCACCCCTTCTCCGGCTCCTCCAGGATCCCCTCCTGGTTGCTCTCCTGCAATCCCTGCTTTTGACTCTGGGCTGATTGTCTCTTGTTTGACCCCCGACGGCTGAACAGGGATAGCCGCCGCCACAGCACGGTGATCAGGAGGCTTTCATTCGACCTCTGATTCCGGTGGTCGGGCGGGCCCATGTCGACCTCTTCAGAGCCTGCGGAGATGATAAAGCCGCTGAGCTCTGCTTTGCCCTCCCGGGTTCAACCTCCTGGGCGTTCCTGTCAGAGCAACCCCTTCTCCAGTTCCCTGGGGCCCGCTGGTCTGTCTTGGGTCCCACCTTCGACTTCCTCCGACTCGGCCTCCTTGGCCGGCTCACCCGTCTGGAAGTCCTTGTCTTGGCAGCAGCCCATGGCCCCGAGCGGCCCCCAACTCCGTGCCACCCACGCCAACCTACCAGGCTCCGGGCCTGGCTTTTGTGACGTCAGATATCCTACTGCACCAGCGTAGGGAGCAGCCACCCCTCTTTCCTTTCTCCCATCACAAAAGGCTCAGGGTCATGGCGGGTGTTGAGCTGTTTATTTACAAAGTGAACATAGGCTCTTCAGGCGCTGGTGGACCCAGGCCGCTGCTTTTTTCTCCGTCTGGTTTGGAGAGCCCCTTGGGTGTGCTCCGAATCAGGGAGCGTCCGCTTGGCAGCTGCCTCCAAGGAGGCCCAAAGTTCATCTGTCTCTGTGTCTTCCGGTGGTGCCTTTTTGGCCTCTTGGGGCTCATCCTGGCAAGTGGGAGAAAGGTTTGAGGAGTCAGGGACACAGTAACAGATACACAGGGAAGAAGGATCTAGCTGGGAAATAATCACTTTTATTTCCTGCTGCCAGACACTATTCCCATCCATGCTATGTCAACCCTTGGCAGTAACCCTATCAGGAATATAACACTCCTCAGAGACCTTCAGTAACTTGGCAGACAAGGAGACGGTTCCAGCCACTGTTTTTTTTTTTTTTTTTTTCTCTCTCCCCAGGGAAATACTCACACCTGTGCCCTTACTCCCACAGACCCAGCTGCTTACCTCCCAGTTATCCCTGCCTGACAGAAGAAGGCAGTTCAGCTGAGACTTGAGATAAACCTACAAAAGATCAGGAGCCTTAGGGAGGCAACCACACTGAAACAAAAACCTGGATAGGGACACATGAGGCAACCAGCTCTCACCTTATGCTCCAGGCCCCGTGGATTCTGGATCCTGTGTATCCTCAAGACTCTGTCCAAGCCACAGGAGGCTAGGAGGGGCTTTGAAGGGTGGCACTGTAATCCTCGGACACTGCCCGCCAGCCCCTTCAGACAGCCCAGTAGGCACCCTGGGGAAGGGAGGAAGCATCAGCACTAGCTGGCCAGCCAACAACCATTAAATGTTTCTTTCTGTTAGAGAAAGAGTGCATGTGTGGAGGGGGTGGGGATTTTACACAGGCTCCATGCCTAATGTGGAGCGGGTTGTTGGGCTCCATCTCACAGCACTGAAATCATAACCTGAGCAGAAATCAAGAGTTGGACACTTACCCAACTAGCCAACCCAGGTGCCCCAGTTGTTTACTGTTTCAATCACCTTATATTTCAATATTCTTTCTAAGAATATTTTATTTATTTATGAGAGACAGAGAGAGAGAGGCAGAGACACAGGCAGAGGAAGAAACAGGCTCTCTGCAAGAGCCCAATGTGGGACTCCATCTCAGATCCCAGGATCACGCCCTGAGTCAAAGGCAGACGCTCAACCGCTGAGCCACCCAGGTGTCCCTATGTTTCAATAATTATTCCTCGATATAAAACTAGGACAGGAATTATCACTGGTATGTCTCCATTTTATAGGTGAAGGAGCTAGAAGACACAAGAAGTTGAAACAACTTGTCCAAGATCATACAGCTTCTGGTGAAACCAGGATTTGAACCCAGGCAATAGGCACCTGAATGAGGGCTCAGCCACTCCACTGCACCCCCTCAGAGGGAATCCCATCCTTCCTCCCACCCTTTGTCCTCTTGCAAGGTTCCCTAATCTACTCACCTTGTCGAAGGTCAATTTCTGCCAGCTGCCCGTGAGTATTCCCCACGATCACAGAACTAAGGAGGAGACCAGAGGCAGGTGGGGTCAGCAGGAGCCCCCATGAGTCCTCTCTGAGCCCCAATCTTTGTCCTCTCAACACTTACTTGCCCCCAGGAGTGAGAGTCATGGCCATAAGTGGGTACTCTCCATAGGTGACCTCTAGGACCGGCCGCCGCTGCGGGGAGGCTGGATCATAGACACGGACCTGGAGACACCGAGGTATCACAAGAGTACCTTCTTGCCATATACCCCCAGCTCTGTTTTCTCCCCATCTTTACCCCCTCCTTCACACACTGCTTTATTTATGACCTACTCTTAGAGAAACTTTCTCATTTGAAATGTACCCCCTTTCCTCTGAGTGTCAGGGAGGAGTGGGCAGCGGAGATCTGCTTAGGAGCATGAACGGGCAGGGCTGAGGAAAGAGTTACCCCAGATTAGGGGGTGGCAGCATTCCCATGGTCTGCATGTGTGAACATTCTATCCCTTCATACTCCATCTGGGGATAAAAAAGCAAGCCAGGAGATGCCTGGGGCCCCAGTGGTTGAGCATCTGCCTTCAGCTCAGGTCGTGATCCTGGCCAAGGTCCTGGGATCAAGTCCTGCACTGAGCTCTCCATGGGGAGCCTGCTTCTCCCTCTGCCTATGTCTCTGTCGCTCTGTGTCTCTTGTAAATAAATAATTAAAATCTTAAAAAAAGAAAAATAAAAAAAGCAGCAAGCTAGTCCAACTGTCAGAGTACTGAATTTCAGAGAAATTTAGCCTGAACAACAGAGAAAAAGCCTCATACTGTGTTTGAACAGAGGCAAATCAACAAGATCAGATTTCATTACGCAGGAGTAAAGGAAATGGGGCAAATAGTGACCCAATCCTGCCAGGGTGTTAGGACTCAAATAAGGACGGCTGTAAAGATCCCCAGTTGGACCCTCCTTTCCTCCTATAAAGCTGAGAAGCTGAGGCTGACAAGGGTCAGGCCTTGATCCCAAACAAATCAGAGGCTGCATCAAAACCAGAACCCAGGGACATCTGGGTGGCTCAGCGGTTGAGCATCTATCTGCCTTTGGCTCAGGGCATGATCCCAGGATACGGGATCGAGTCCCACGTCAGGCTCCCTGCATGGAGCCTGCTTCTCCCTTTGCCTATGTCTCTGCCCCTCTCGCTCTCTCTGTCTCTCATGAATAAATAAAAAATCTTAAAAAAACAAACAAACAAACAAACAAACAAACAAAAAACAGAACCCAGAGACACCTGGGTGGCTGAGTGGTTGAGCATCTGTCTTCGACTCAGGTCGTGATCCCGGGGTCCTGGGATCAAGTCCCACATTGGACTCCCTACAAGAAGCCTGCTTCTCCCTCTATGTCTCTACCTCTCTTCTCTCTGTCTCTCATGAATATATAAAATCTTAACAACAAACAAAACAAAACCAGAACCCAGTTTTCTTGCCACCCAACCCAGTGTCCTCTCATCACACCTGTACCCTGTGATTCTACTATGAAAAGGGCATTCTCTTCTTCCCTCCTCCCTTCCAGATAGGAAATAAAGGGTCACAGTCCAGAACACTTGTCCTAGAATGCACTAGAAGGTCACTCACTGGCTCAGCCATGGGGCTGGGATGGATGGGGGAAAGGCTCTCTGTCTCTCAGGGACAGAGCCTAAGAAGGATAGCTGTGCCAAATGATGAGGACTGAGCCTGTGTAGGGAGGCTATTTCTCCAGGAGAGAAAGCCCAGGAGGCAAGAGTGGGATGGGGCCTCACCTGGTGGTACCCTGTGCAGGTGACAAGCTTCTGAGACTCAGGAAGAAACTGTATGTCCTGATCCCAGATGGGAACTCGCAGGTCAAGCCAGTCGTTCCGTACCTGGTCAGGGGTGGGTAGATGGGAGATAAGTTGTGGGAGGCTCATAGGCCCTTTCCTTCAGCCCTTTATCATCATCCCCTAAAGCCTACCTGGTCTCTGACTCAGTTAGTGGCCTCGTCTCTGACTCAGTTAGTGGCCTCAGCCCAGAAGGCCCTTTCCTTCAGCCCTTTATCATCATACCCTAAAGCCCACCTGGTCTCTGACTCAGTCAGTGGCCTCGGCCCCAGAACCTCCCACCCGTTACTTACATTCTTGGCCCTGAACACAGGTTCCTCAGACCCCTGTAGGTCCCACACCTTCAAAGCATTCTCTTTCCCACCCGTAGCAACCATGTGGGGGTGAGCTGGGTCTTGGCGCATCCTACACACCCCAGGACCCACACTCAGTTCTAAGAGCTGAAAAGAAGAGGAGATGGGAGGGGAGATGAGAAGCAGTTCCATAGTCTTTAATTCTTTAATCCTCTTCCCTCAAAGCCCTCGCTTGGTTCCTGGCCCCCACCTTCCCCAACCATCACTGGCAAGCCAGGGGAGCCTTACTGGGTCAGAGGATGCCTCTTTGTCATTCTCACGCCAGACTCGGACAATCCCAGAATCCACACATGTGATGAGGGTGCTGCAGACAGAGGAGGATAGAGTTAGGTTAAAAGAAGAAAAGTAGGGCACCCCGGCTGGCTCAGTGGTTTAGTGCTGCCTTCAGCCCAGGGCGTGATCCTGGAGACCTGGGATCAAGTCCCATTTCGGACTCCTTGCATGGAGCCTGCTTCTCCCTCTGCCTGTGTCTCTGCCTCTCTCTCTGTATGTCTCTCATGAATAAATAAAATTTAAAAAAAGAAGAAAGGAAGAAAAGAAAGAAAAGAAAGAAAAGTAAGTGTAAAAGTAATCTCTAGACCCCAGTGGACCTACTCCCAGATTTATTACAAGACTCTCTCCTTCCAGGTCTGTTATTTAATATCCTCAACAAGAGGAGGGCTTATCAATTTTGTGAGTGAGGAGACTGAAGCTCTCAGAAATGATAAGACTTGCCTACACAACTATAAATGTCAGAACCAGAGCTGGAAATCAAGTCTGTGACACTCCAAAGCAGAAAGCCTTTGCTATTCCACAGCTATGTCTGGGGGCACCTGGCCCTGCTGGTCTTTCTGAATCTTAAGTGGGTCACCAGGAGTCAGGATCAGTAACTCTGGTGAAGTGGGACTGGTCTAAATTTAGGATCTGGCCAAAATCAAACACTAGCTTCTTCCCTCGAGTTCCCTGTTTGGAGTTCCAGATGGTAAATATCAATCTTGCCCTCAAAGTATGCACCCCTCCCATGAACCCCCAAGCAAGTCTCTCCCAGGAATAGGAGCTGCAGAATCTGAGCCTATGTTCTTTCTCATGTCTGCCCACCTTCTCTACCTCAGTTCAGGCTGTGTCTCTTGCCTGGACGAGAGCCTACGGCTCTTTCCAATCCATTTTCCTTGCTCAAACCCA